TCAGGCCCCCGTCTGTGGGCAGCTGATGTATGCCTCAGGACAGATCCGCATGGATGCTGTGGCCAGGTCAGGTTATCATAGCAAGGTCTTGGAAGTGGGCAGCCTGCTGGCTAAAGTCCTGGAGATGTTTCAGGGAAGCAAGCTGCTCAGTTAAGAGTGGGGCTTTGGAGTCAGACAGGCCTGGGGTTTGAATCCTTGCTCTGTCCCCAGCAAGCGGTGGAAACGAGGTAATCTCTCAGGTTCTCAGAAGACCTAAAAATTATTGTTGCTTACTACTATACACCAGGCAGTGTGCTGAGTGTTTTCCGTGATTAACTCATGTACTCCACACATGGACCTGTAAGGAGTAATGCACCCAGGATCACCTAGCTTGTAAGAGGTGTAGCTGAGACTCAGACTAGTCTGATTGCAGCACCCGATCTCTTTTGTAGTTGTAAGTTGCCATCGACCTTAGGTATGGTCAACTCCATGGTCACGTAGGCATGGCGACCTTATGTACGACAGAACAAAACATTTCTTGGTCCTGTGCCATCTTCACGATTGAGTCCAAAGAGTCCACTGCTGCGGTGATTGTGTCGATCCATCTCATTGGGGACTTCCCTCATTTTCATTGATCCTTTACCAAATATGATGTCATTTTCTAGTAATTGGTCTTTTCTGATCTAAAGGATCACGACAGAAAACCTGAACTCTTAACCACTGCATAATAACACTTCATCTGTGAAATGAGGATAGCACTTACCTTCCAGTGGGAATGTTCTGAGTTCAAATGAGGTGATCTAGGTGAAGCCTTAGTAATTGGTCAACTCATGGCTGCTGCTGTTACTAATAAACACACAGTGTTAAGGTTGGTCAACGAAATGGTTAGGGGCATACTCTGCTACCCAGTCCTTTATCCAGGACCTGCTCTCCACTAAGCCTCAAATTTACAGAGATCTCAGTAAAAAAATAAATTCTGGAAGCACCGTCATTTCTTTCCCTGGCTGTCAGAGGAAGCGTCTATTTCTCCTTAAGGAAGACGGGCAAAGGGAGCCACACAGGGATCAAGAACGGGTAAGAGGCAGGCGCTGCTGACTTTTTTGTTTAAGTGCAGCCAGGGGAGCACTCCAGGCGGGCCGACCCATGGGTCTCGCCCCCCACCCCCATAACTGCCTATGCCTAGAAACAACCGCCTGCCGGCACCCCCAGCTGCATCTACTTGCAGATGTCAATCCGGCTTCCTCACTGGACTCTGCCTTTGATCCTGTTGCCTCAGCCACCATAAGGCCACATGGGGAGGCACGCCCTCCTCCCCATGTCTTCCAGGCCACTGGCTTCCACTGGCCCCTGCCCAGCTCTCAGCAGGCAACATATATGTGCATGGCACCTATATATTCATGCTTGAGGTCACACTCCCATTGGTTGGGCAACCCTAAAGAAGGGCTCTGTTTTAGCAGGTGAGAAGACAGGTCAGCATCATCTCTAAAGAATTTACAACCCTCTCCTCAAAATATTGCCGAAATCCACTCACAGACCAGGACAAGTTTCGGTCACAAGATTATGGGGAAAAAAAAATGCTGGAAACTAGAATTCTGTGGCTGACTCCCTACTAGAATGTATTATATTCTTCTGCCCTCTAGTGGCAAAAAGTAGCACCAAGCCTCACAGTCCCTTAGTGAGAGTGCAAGCAAAGACTACGACTCACAATGTGCCTTACTTGCATTCCTAGGAAACAGATGAGGGAGTCTGCTATCAACTCATCAGGGGGCAGCTACCGCTAGTAAGATGCCCCAAAAGGAAATGAAAGGCATCCATCTGTCTTACACGCTCGGATGCATCACATTGCCAAGGAATCTTAGAATCATGGATGAAGTTGCTTCATCCATGAAGGGTGGGGTGGGAAAAACTGTGGAACAGAATGGGGTGGGGAAAGCATTCCAGGCTGAGGGAACAGCCTAGCAAAGGCATGGCTTACTGTGAGCGGACGACTAAGCCCCTTCCATGCTCTGTGGCCATTCCAGGCACTGAGAAAAGACGCTGTTTCATTCTCAAGAGAGAGTATGATGAAGGGAATTATGATGTGGTCATAGAGATCGAGGTTTTAGTATAGATACACTGTTTGGATAGGCCCCTTTCCCTCTCTGAGCCTCAGTTTCCTCAAACGCAAAATGAAAAGGCTCAGATATCCTGTAAGTTTCCTGGGACCAAATAACCAAAACCACGGCCGTCAAGTCGATTCCAACTCACAGGGACCCCGTGTTCCACAGGGTTTTCTTGGCAGATCCCCAGGGCTTTCTTCCATGGCGCCACTGGGTGGGCTCAAACCACAAACCTTTAAGTCAGGAGTCAAGTGCAAACCCTTCTCACCATCCAGGGACTCACAGTTCCCTGGTAACCCCAGATTTCCTCTGGGTCCTGATTTAATGGAGTCACCACTGATAGGCTAAGAGGCAAGATACACTGCCTGGCCACTTGGGTTCTCCTGCATGGCTGTCCCCACTGCACTGAATACTGCCCCTTCGGGAGCCCCTTTTGCTATTCTTGTCTTGTGCTGCCTATGGTGAAGCTGGGGAAGCTGGCTTTCCTGTCCCTAATAAGAAAGGTGGCAACTGACTCTGAAAATGTGCTGTTTTGCCACCAGCCCAACTACATCCACTGGCTGTGAATAGGGTTCAAAGTACCAGCTAACTGTTGGAAAACAACAGCACTCAATCACCCCCTGCAAAGACCCAGCACTTATAAAAGAATAAATAAATAAGGTTGCATTGGTTTTTTTTTCCACTTGGAAATTTGTAACATCATTAGCTACAAGTAAATACATCAGTGGGATTAATGGAGTGAATCACAAAGTGACTTGATTGGATTTAAAGCCACATTATTTCTTTGGGTTGAATTAGTAAATTTAGCACTGTCCAGAGATGATGGATGAACATCCCAGGAACCCAGAGTTCTTATTGATCCTCAGAATAGATTAGCATGGGAAGGAGATGCTGGAAGAGCTTCCCACACTGTTTGCAGAGAAAGACAACATGGCTTCTGTGCTCAAGGAGCTCTACAGACATACATTGTTCCCTTTTGTGACCACACGAGGTAGGCAGTGGCTAAGATGGCCCCAACAATCCCGGCCGCCTCCTGCTACTTTCTTCTTCTTGAGTCTTGAATGCGGACTGGAACAAATGAGTCAACTTCTAAGAAACAGCAGAAGTCATGAGGTGTCACTTCTGAGATGAAGTTACAAAAAGACTGTGGCTGCAGCCTCAGGCGCTCTCTCACCCTCTCTTGGGTCACTCCCACCAGGGAAGGCCAGCTGCCATGTAGAGAGGTCCATCAGAGGGACCCTGGAAGCAGAGCCTCCGAGATCTGCCATGTGAGTGAGTGTGGAAGGGGCTCCTCCCCCACATTAGTCTTGAGATGACTGCAGAGCAGGCTAACACCTTGACTGCAGCCTCATAAGACATCTGAGCCAGAAGCTCAAGCTAAGCTGCTCTTAGATTGAAGACTCACAGAAAAACAAAACAAAACAAAACAAAAAAACTGTGAGATAATAAATGTTTATTATTTTAAGTCACTAATCAGTAACCAGTTGCCCTCGAGTCGATTCCAACTCATGGTGACCCCATGTCAGAGTAGAACTGCTCCACCGGGTATTTCAAGGCTGTGACCATTCAGAAGCAGATCATCAAGCCTTTCTTCTGAGGGCCTCTGGGTGGGTTTGAACTGCCAACTTTGCACTTAGTAGTCAAGCACTTAACTATCTGTGCCACCCAGGGACTCCTAAGCTTGGGGCAATTTGCTATGAGGCATAGAAAGCTAATATATCACATGCCTTGTTTTGGCCAATGGAACATGAGTAGAAGCAATATGCATTATTTCTGAGAAGAAGCTTCAAGAGTCAGTGTGCAATTTGTCACAATCTAGTTTCTTTCCTTAAGGAGCCCTGGTGGCGCAGTGGTTAAAGCAATTGACTGCAAATTGAAAGGTCAGCAGTTGGAAACCACCAGCGGCTCTGCAGGAGAAAGGTGTGGCAGTCCGCTTCCGCAGAAATTGACAACCTCAGAAACCCTACGGGGTCGCTATGAGTCAGAATCGACTTGATGGCAATGGGTTTGGTTTTGGTTTTGATTTTAGTGTCCTTCCTGGGCAAGGGCAGAAGCATGGGTCAGGATGAAACTTCTGTGAACTCAGATCCCTAAGTGACTACGATGAACCAAGCCCCACCTTCCCCGAGACCACCAACCTGCACTGGGCATGTAGAGTGATTAAGAAATAAATTTTTGCTGTGTAAACACCACTTAGATTTGGGGATTGTGTTTACTACAGCACAACCTAGCCCATCCTGACTAGTGAACTGTTCAATCACAGAATCACGGGTTGGGTACCCCAGGGCAATTGGAGAAATAACATTTGTTCTTTCTGCTAAGAACACAGATGTTTTGCTTAAAGTGGTTTTGAGATGTAGTATATCTCCTCACAAAGGCCACCACAACAGTCTCCTTTAAAGAGTTTTCAAATATTCTGTCTCGCTGACCCTTTTGTACTCTTGTATTTCCAGACCACACGCTCTAACTTATAGTTTAGGAAATAGGGTCCCCATATAGGTTAATGGGCCATCATTCAACGAATGTGTGTATATGGCAGGTCTCTGCACATCTATCCTCTCATTTAATTCTTACAATACCTCTTTCTTCTGAGGGTCTCTGGGTGGGTTTGAACTACAGATATAACTACTGTTATCCTTAATTTACAGACGAGGAAAATACAAATTGTAGGGATAAAAATCAACTCTAGAAGGTTACTCAACCTTCAGGTAGATATTGGCAGAACCCAAACTTGAATCCAGTCCCTCTGAACCAAGACTACTGTTCTTTCCTTCTAATCACAGATGCCCGCCAGCTACAGAGGTGAATGCATTAAGGCTGTCCTCTCAGTAAGAAGGTTCTAGAACCTACAGGCTGTAGCCTCCTTTAAGAGGGGAAGGAAATCCTTGTTGTGATAGTTAAAAATTCAGATGTATTACTTACTTGTGTCAATGAAAACTGCATCCACGTAGATTTTGGTACAGAAAGATCCCAGGATAAATCCGCAGGCTGGTCCAAATACCAGCATTGTGAACAGGATTCCTGCAAGAAGATGAAACAAAGATGAGATAAAAAAGCAAAGACCATTGAAAGAGTCAACTCATCAAAGGTCAAGGAAATTATTTTGCACTGATCAGGTGAGATGTCTGATTATATAAATGGCATCACAGGAATTAGTCTAAAAATCCTAGAGGGGGGAAGTTAGTATTCCTGATTTTTGGAAACTCCATTGAAGCACAGTATATCACATAGGAATTCGACAGTATTTTGGTAGGCTGCACTGAAATATTTGTGGGCCCTAAGTATTGGTGGAGTAGTGGTTAAGAGCTATGGCTGCTAACCAAAACGTCAACAGTTCGAATCCACCAGGTGTTCCTTGGAAACCCTGTGGGGCAGTTCTACTCTGTGCTATAGGGCCGCTACGAGTCAGAATCCACTCGACGGCAACGGGTTTGGTTTTTGGGTTTTAAGTACACTTTCTTTTAGAGGCTTCCACCCTGCATGCTGTCAAACATACTTGAATACATCCACATTTATAATTAAATACCCCTTTTGTTATAAACATTTTTGAAAGGGTATCTGTAATTCTGATTTTACATTTATCTTATTAGGCTTTATGTAATTCATTTAACTGATGGTTGGCTAAGATTTCTCAGCACATGTTGTGCAAACTTAGGAATTCTTGTGAAGTGAGAAAAATCTAAGCAACAACTTATTTTCAAATGTACTGAAATGTTTATGAGCACCTCATTTAATAAATGACAAAGCTGACCTAACGGCATGCTTTGAGAGTATTCAATTAGATACTTGTTAATTTCCACTTCCCTCCACATTTTGGAACTTTCCATTGTTGTTGATGCTGTAACAGTTTTCAGGTCTCGGGCATTTCCATCAGCTTTGAGCAGACAGCAGGCCCTGGGTACGTGTGTGCGTAGGTACCTGATGGATATACCCGCTGCTGTCGAGTAGATTCCGACTCATAGTGACCCTACAGGACAGCGTAGAACTGCCCCAAAGGGTTTCCAAGGGGTGGCTGGTGGATTCAAACTGCCGACCTTTTGGTTAGCAGCCGTAGCTCTTAACCACTGCACCACCAGGGCTCCTCCTTCCTGGATGTTTGCACAAACCTTTTGGATCATTCTGGGAAAAGTATTGGACCCAAACTAAAACCCACAGGCTATATCCATTTAACTGGATTTCAGCTTGGGAGAGGTACTTCCTGGGCATTGACAGTATTCTAGGCCTTGAGGATAAAAGTAAGAGCAAAGATGTGGCCCTGCCCTCAAGAAGCTGGCCATCTGGTGGGGTCAACGAATACACGTGTCATTCCAACCGAGCAGAGGGTGGCACTCACAGGTTCACCAGTTGCATGAAGACCAGGGTAGGGGCTGAATTTGACCACAGGGAATCTGAGGTCCCTCTCCCACCTGTTCAGAGGAGTGGCCTGACTCAGTGTGAGCTCTCGTGGTGATGTCATCATGGAGCCAGTCAAACATTCATTCATTCATTCATTCAATCAACATTCACTGAGTGCCAACTATGTGCCAAACACTATTCTCAGCGCTTGGGGATTCAGCATTGAGCAAAATAGTCAAAAATCCCAGCTCTCATAGGGCTCATTGAGTTGGAGAGCAAAAAAACAAAAACTTAAATTGCAGACCAGGAGCTCAAGTGGTTTATAAATACTTGGTGAAGGAAAGCATATCTTCCTAGTTTACAGACAGGACCCCAGAACCCAAAGCAATCCATGAAGACTCCTTGTAGGAGTGTTGTCTGATGACGAAAGAAATGGAAAGAGGATGTCTTATATCACAGTGGAGTTACTGTGTGGTGCAAACGGTTAATGCACTTGGCTGCAAAGCAAAACGTTGGAGGTTTGAGTCCACCTAGAGGTACTGCGGAAGAAAGTTCTGGCAATCTATCTCTGAAAAATCAACTGTTGAAAATCTTGTGGAGCACAGTTCTACTCTGACACACATAGGGTCACTGTGAGTTGAAATCTACTCTGTGGCAACTGGTTTCATGTCACAGAAATGGGGCTCAATCCACGCTCAGTGAAATCCTGCCCTGTGATTTGATAAGAGATCTAGAAATTCAAGTGTCTCAAAATGTTGTTACTAAACCCAGCCAGAGACCCTCAATCTCACAGTTACTCCTGTTTACAACCGGCTCTATTTTTACAAAATGAAAATATGTCACTTTAGAGGGGAGCAACATCTACCTTATCACATTAGCTCTGTTTTTTCATGACTTAGATTAAGGTAAAGCAAACAGAGAAAGCCGAGAAAGTTGGGGGATGTCATTAGAAAAGTCTGGAACTTGAGAATCTTTCCAGTAGTGGCTAGAATTGGGGGGCAGTCCTTAGCAGAGTGGGGTTAGGGGTTGGGGCAGAATTAGTCTTGGCCCCCACTCCCTGGGTGGAGGAAACAAGAAGGAAGAGAAGCTGAGAAAGAGGCAGGGAAGTGGGACACGTGTCTAAGGCAAGAAAAGCACCAACGGCTGACTCAAGAAGAGACTTCTGCCTCAGGGCAAAATGCTGTCCAGGCTACAGGCTGAGGTGAACCTGCACTCAGAGCTACAGGCACTCTTAAGCTGGCTTAGCAAGCAAAATAACTTATAACGTCCTCCCAAAAGAAAGGGGCATGGGAGATAGAACACAATTCCCTCATCAAGGACACTACAACTTCCCTTCTGACTCACTGTCCCCTACAGATTGAATAATGAAAATTATAATAAATAATAGGTCAAAGGACCAAGCTGTTAGTACCCTTGAAAAAAAGAAACAACCAATGAGCTGAAGAGCTTGTGTAGAGATTGTTTGGTACCCCTGCTCTTGGAGACAGTCAAGTGTGTGGACTGAGCAGACATCATGGGGCAGCTAGGGACCTCAGCCCTGGGCCTCCTGCTGTTTTGCAGGCTGTGACATGGGAGATGGAAGGACATTCCTTGAGATGCTGACCTCAGCCGCGCACAGGAGACCTGCAGGGCCCAGATGGGCCAGTGATTGTCTCTGATGGCTCAGATGGTCAATGGCCTGCCAAAGAGACACCATGCACCCAGGTGGCTTCCCCATCCAGCCAAGAGCACCTCCCCTCCACCTCCTCTAAGAGACAGCTTGGGTTCCTGTACCGTTTGGATTGTGGCTTTCACTTTAACAGGACAGAGTTTGACCCAGTCCCCAAAGATACTTGATAGGACCCAGTGCCCTAGGGAGCACATTTTTGTGTGAAGGGCATTTATTTTCCCCTCAGTCAAAAATCTCTGTGGGCCATCAGTTGAGCAGCTCTTCCTCAGACGGATGTCAACGTGGGCCTCCAGCAACAATCTGTTCTCGAATATTCTCCAAGTGCCAATCCAGTAGGGGGGACGTGGGAGGTGGCCTTCAAGCAACAGGAAGGGCCCTTTTTCACTTGAGAAATATCTTAGGATAACAACTCAAATCAGACAGCATCGAGGGCACGGCATTGGGTTTTAGGAAAAGTTGTCTCCCTGAGGGAGTGTGAGGCCTCTATGATCTCCCAGAATTTGCTTCCTCAGCTCTCCTCTGGATTCATCCTGCCGGGCATGATTTTGTTCCTACTTCTTTAGCAAAACCATTTAAATGTTCTGGACAAGAAATGCATTATCAGGCACTAAAATCCAGGATCCCTGTGTAAAGGAGCAAGCGCCTCCAGATCCAGGAGAGAACTTTCTTCAGCGGCCCAGTGCTGTCCCCTGCTGTCTGCTGGCTTTCTGTGCACTGGAGGAAGAGAGGAGCCAGAGACATAGGAGAGTGACAGAAACCTGAAGGGACCATTCATACAGAGCATCTACTACTGTGTGCTCTGGGCCTTGCACCATAATCTCCTGTGATCCTTTCAATAGCCCTGAAGGGAAGTTTAATGGGCCTATTTCACAGCAAATGAACTGGAATCTCAGAAAGGTTCAGTACCTCATCCCCTACACATAGCCAGAAAGCAGCACAGCCAGGATCTGAAGGCAGGTTTCTCCAGTCCCCTAAAAATACCATATTAAAGGCGGCCCAGTGAAGCAGGTGAGCGCATGAATGGTCTAGGTTCAAAACCAAGCACCACCACTTTCTAGTTTCGTGAAGGTTGGGCAAAGTATTTAACCTCCTCACGCCTCAGTTTCCACATCTGTAAAACGGGCCAATGTTAGACCTACCTCACAGGGCTGTGGCAAAGCTTAAATAAGCTAATATTTATAAAGCTCTTAGAGTCTGCCACATGAAAGTAAAAATGCTTCTTAAAAAATCATGTCTGTGTCTATTCTACTACAAGGGCCAGGGCACCTGGGTTCCCAGTTCTCCTCTTTCCAAAACTCACTTCACCCTTCCATACCTTGATTTTCTAAAGCTAGGAGGGGAGTACAGCCAGAACGCTCCTTAGAAGCGAGGATGGCGAGACTTTGTCTCACATACTTTGGACGTGTCATCAGGAGGGACCAGTCCCTGGAGAAGGACATCATGCTTGGTAAAGTAGAGGGTCAGTGAAAAAGAGGAAGACCCTCAATGAGATGGACTGACACAGTGGCTGCAACAGTGGGCTCAAGCATAACCACGATTGTGAGGATGGCTCAGGACTGGGCAGTGTTTCGTTTTGCTGTACACAGGGTCGCTATGAGTCAGAACCAACTCTACAGCGCCTAACAACAATATTACCGGAGAGGGACTGGGGCTGCAAGCAGGCCAGGTCCAGGAAGTAGGATGACCTCAGCCTCAGCAGGACTCAGATGGTGTCTGAGACTTTGGTCCCAGACTCTCTGGACTTTGTCTACCCCTTGCTCTGACTGCCTGCTTTCCAAGCCCATTTGGATGGCTAATCTGGATGCCCAGGGGCTTGACAACTGGACAAAGGACGTGGGGCATTCTAGAGAGTGTGGGATGACCCCCATGGTGATCTAACCCTGGCATCCTGGTTTGCACACACACCTTCTGTAAGTGACCTTAGTGCAAATCCGCAGTTCCCAAACTATGAGCTGAGGCACCTTGAGGCACCGCAGAAAACCACAGGTGCCACAAAATATTTCAAGTTTTTGAGGAA